GGTGGGAAGGTACAGAGCTGCAGGCATCCCATAGGGAGGAGTCACAGGGACATGAAGCTGAACCTGGCTTGGTTGAGTTCAGATCTCCCTGGGCAACAGCAGACCTCAGTGCAGAAGTCCTGCCCCTATCTCTGCGTGGCACCAATAGATTGGCTGGGTCACTGGCTTCCCAGAGTCACCCCTGACCCTCAACTGGGAACTCCTAGGAATGCAAGTTCAGAGTCCCTGCAGCAGAGCACAGTACAGCTATGTTTACTCTGCCTGGGGAAGTGAGAGCGTTCTCGAGAGACTAAAGTCTGAGACCTGGTTAAAAGAATGCTAGGCCTATTGCCTTGACATATGGGATGCCCATGGATGAGCGAGAAGGAGAGAGCGAGGATCAGAGGGAGAGAGAGAGAGAGAGAGAGAGAGGCCTTACCCAGAGAGAGCAAAATACACAGTCACCCTGGAAGTCCCTTTAAGGCTTCACAGAGTATGGCATTACTTATATTATATTCCCAGACTTCCCCACCCCATGAGAAGGTCCTGATGTCCCTGAAGAGATGTCCTTGTCCTGAACAGTCCCTGGAAAGGCTCCCCGAGGCAGCACCTGGAGAACAGGGTGATCCGCAGCAGGCAGCATCGAGCTTCTCAGATTGGTTCCCGACACAATCGGGTAAGTGTGTGCGGGCTCAGCAGGCCTCCAGATGTGCTTGGTGCCCAGCTCTGCTGGAACTGTGCCTGTGGCCTGAGAAGGGCGGTCTGTTCCCATGGGAGGCATTCCCAGCTCCTGTTGATAGGTTTGTGGCTGGGAGGGTCTGCTTTCTGGGGCTGGCCACTGACTGAGCCAGCAAACAGTTATCTTGGGCCCTAGGACCCAGCTCCTGGTCTGGAACAACCAGCAGCGAGCAGTCATTTGAACTGTGTTGGGTCATTCTTAGCAAGGCTTTGAGGCCCCAGAACCATGCTTGTTGGTTGCTCCCTGGAGATGCAGTGAGAGGCCATCACATAGTCTCCTCCGTTTCAGCCTCTGCCCTTCATGTCCTGGGAGAGCGATGGCAGGGAGTCAACATTGTTTTGGAAGAGCTCCATATGGTGGCTGGATAGTTTCTTGTCTCTGGTGCAGCGAAAGGATTGCTATTAAGGTCTGTGTGCAATTTCCAGGTGAAAATCAAGCCCCCCTCCCATAAATATCCCGACAAAAGTTGTACAAGAAATACACAATAGAGTCATGTTATAGAATTTGCTTTCATTTATAGAATATCGACCGTTTGATGGCTTGCGTCTGAAATGTCCCCTGAGGCAGGCTCACGTGGTCCTCAGTTTGTGGTGCTGTTTTGTGAGATGTGGGCCTGAGCTGGAGGGTGTAGGTTTTTAGGGCCAGGCTTTTGGAGGCTCTAGGCAGGGTTCTGTTCCTATCCTGTGCACGGCTTCACGGCCTGTCGAGATGTGAATAGGCGTTGCCCTGCACTTCCATCACCTCAGAGGGGCCACCCCAGCAGGCATGCCTTCTCTGCCACAATGGACTGATCCCAATACTACAAACACTTCCTCACTGCTGTTGTTTCTCAGGTGTGACATCACAGCGAGGAGAGAACTAACAGACTGTGCAACTAAATACCATCTCTTACATGGTGGGTTTCTATACGTGATTTGTTTCTTTGGTTATACTGTCTAATGGTTCTATCTATCCCAATCTTCACAGTTCCATCTTGAAATTTAAATTGTACTGTTTGTGTGGATGTGGACACGTAGGCTCAAGGCTGGAGGTCAGCTTGCCCACTGTTACCAACAGGAAAATGGTTCTAGTGCAGTCGCACCTCTGTGGCTGTCTGGATGGGTGAGTGCCATCAAACCTGTTTGTCACTAGGTTCCTGCAGGGGCCGAGTATGAGAGTGGTCCAGAAGAAACTCTTCCTGGCCAAGGGTCATGTCCTTTAGCCTTCAATGGCAAGCAATGGCTTTCTCTGAGAATGTAGATGTTCCCCGATGGGTGTTCTTCTAGGTGACTCAGGTGATGCTGATAGGATGAGCCATTTGGTGAGGGTTTGGTATTATTAAGATTTGTGGTAGTGAGATTTTTTTTTTGTTCCTTTGACAAATGTCCAAGAAAAGCAAACAAAGTAGGTGAGGGTGGGCTTTCCTTTGGCTCAGGTTTTTAAAGGCTCTAGCTCAGGGTTGTTGGCTCCATTGCTTTCAGGCCTGTGGTGAGTCAGAAAAACATGGTGGGCACTGCCATTAGAGAAGGAGACAGGAAAGGGCAGGTCACAGCCAGCCCTTAAAAGTTACCCCCCAGGGATCTACTTCCTCAAGCTAGTTCCTTAAGGTTCCACCATCACCACAAAGAGCATCACCAGCCAGGGACCGAGCCTTTACCTCACGAACTGGCACAGATACTTCATGTTCAAACCATGGCACATGTCTGCACTGGAGGAATGTTCTTCATTTTACAGATGTCCCGTGATGCCTCAAGACACATGATGATCACTGGTACTTAGGTAGGAAGTGGGACCTCTAACTCAGGAAAACGTCTAGAAACAAAGTGTGACATAGGCTGTGGTGGTTTGAATGGGTGGTCCCCATATACTCATGTGTTTGAATGCTTGGTCGTAGGGAGTGGCATTATTAGGAACTGTGGCTTTGTTGGAATAGGTGTGGCCTTGTTGTAGGAAGTGTGTCATTGGGGGTGAGCTTTGAGGTCTCAAATGTTCAAAGCAGGCCTAGTGTGACTATCTCTTCCTGCAGTCTGTTGGTAAAGGTGTGGAACTCTCAGCTCCTTCTCCAGCACCATGTCTGCCTGTGTACCATTGTGCTTCCCACGATGATGACGGTGGACTAATATTGGGGGAGGCTGCTTGTTTGTTTCCCAGCCGCTCAGACCCAAAATAATCACTCAGAAACTATATTATTTAAATCACTGCTTGGCCAATCACTTAAGCATATTGGTAGTTAGCGCTTACATCTTTAGTTAACTCATTTCAATTATTTTATATTTTACTATGAGGCACATGGCCTACTGGCAAGGTTCCTGCAGGCATCTCGCCTCTTTCTCCTCTGGCGGCTACATGGTGTCTCCTGACTCTGCCTTCTTTCTCCCAGAATTCAGTTTAGTTTTCCCCACCTAGCTCTACTCTGCCCTATCACAGGCCAAGCCAGCTTCTTTATTCATTAACAAATAAAAGCAGCACATATACAGAAGGATTTCCCACACCAGCCTAAATCTCTGGACTGTAAGCCAGACACAATTAAATGTTTTCCTTTATGAGTTGCCATGGTCATGGTGTCTCTTCACAGCAATCGAGCAGGAGAAATCCTAATTAAGGCATAGGCCAATGTGAAGGATTTACTCATTCATTTCCTGAGGTAATGTCTCTATCTTGTAGGCGGAGAAATGGACTCAGGAATGGTGGGGAGCGATTTGATTAGACAAAAGAGTTTCAACTTGTCAGTCACAGACCCCTATGATCAACTAGTTCTGAGCATCTACTCTGTGCCAAGGACTGTGCTTTGACCCCCTAGTCAGATGGCAGGTGGTGGGGTTGAACTGTGTCGCCTCAAAACTCTCAGCTCCCTGACACCTCTGAATGTGAACGCCTTTGTAGATACTGCCTTTCCAAAGGTGATGGGATGAGAAGGCCATTCGTGTGACTCTAGCTCAACTGGACAAGTTTAAGAAGAGGTTGGATGTAAGCAGTTGCGTGTGTAAAGGAATGGCCACAAGAGGGCGTAGTGAGATGGTAACTGCTGAAGGCGAGCAAGAGAGGTCTTGGGAGAAGCCCGATGGCCAACACCTTAATGTTGATGTGAAACATGACACGAGGAACATCTGTTGCTTAATCCCTAGGATGCAGCAGCCCTTGAAACTAGGCATACCAGGCCAGCCCATCTCTTCAGGTCTGGTATCTCCCTGGACGCTGGACCTTTGAGTACTGCCAGAAATGACCTGATCCAAGTGATTGTTGACTGGCACAGGCTCCAGGGTTCCACCACGGAGAAGGAAGTATATGAATCCTTTCTCTCTGTAGCATCCCCTGTTTCCTTCCCTGTGTAGGCTCCAGTGAGGACATCCATCACCCAATACTGCTTTGCCAATGAGCTCCTCAGAGGGGACCAGAAACCCATTCCATCACAGCTGTATTCCCAGACCTTCACCCTGTAGTAGCCACGCTTCTTGCAGCATGACTTTCCCACAGGACTCATAACTTGATATCATGTATATGGATGCTTCTCAGTTTACAGTGAGCTTCATCTCTATGCAGCCATTGGTTGAAAATATCCCAAGTTGAAGGAAACCATGAGAAATGTCTCCAACCTTCAGAGAATCACAGCTTAAGCAAGCCAATCTACTGTTGCACAAGTGGTTTTCCTCAAGATCTCAGGAATGGCTTGGAGCTGTGTGAATCATGGTCCCTGGTCAGTATCCAGACTGCTTTCTGATCCAGGTGTGGGCAGCATAGGTCCCCATACCTAGAATAAAACAGGCAGTGTCTCCTGGTCCTGCAGGGCACACACACGTATTGTCACAGAGTGGATAACAATAGATATGCCACCTTCTTCTCTGCTGTGTCCCTTTGAATAGGTGGAAGAACTCACAAATCTTCAACAGAGTTAATGTTATTCCCCTGTGTGGGTAGGGGTTGCAATGGAGTCATTTAAAGAGAAAGCCTCCAAAAAGAGTGTTGTAAGAGGCTGCTTTTTCATTTCCCGGCCGCCCAGACTCAAAATAACCACAGAAACTATATTATTTGCAATACTGATAGGCCAATAGCTTAAGCACATTTCCGGCTAATTCTTATATCATAAACCAATCCATCTCCATTAATCTGTGTATTGCCATGTGGCTGTGACTTAATGGCAAAATTTCGGCAGTTCCATGGCTTCTCTTTACTCCGCCTCCTTTTCCCCAGCATTCAGTTTAGTTTTCCCCACCTACCTCCATTCTGCTCTGCGCGGGGGCGGGGGGGCAAGACAGTTTCTTTATTAACCAATGATATTCACAGCATACAGAGGAGAATCTTACATAAGAAGAGGGCCAGCCTGTGGTCTTCACCTCCAGTCCTTAGGGAACAGTGTAGGCAGAGGACAGGGTCATTGTACCATAAGCCTGGAGAGAGCCCCAATGCCTACTGGCAGCTGCAGGTTCTTGGGCCACTGGCTTTTCCCCTGAGAGCTTCTTTCTTCCTCTGTCAGAAAAGAATGCAAATGTTTGCCCAGGAGCAGGGGGGTACAGGTAAAGTCATAAGTGTGTTATTGATGCTCAGCGATGTTTGGTGCCCTCTTCCCTTCCTGGAGGGGATATGGCAATATCTTAGAGTCTTAGGGCAGAGGAGAAAAATCTCAGGTATGTAATATGCAAGTTACTTTTAATTGTCAATTTGATGCAACCTCGAATTGCCCAAGAAGTGGTATTAATGAGAAAATGATCAAGATCAGTTACTGGGTTACTTGAGCCATGGTCATGTCTTTGGGGGGGGGTTGTCTTGATTGCTAATTGGGGTGGGTGAGAATCTTAGCCACCGTTCTGTTGCTGCGAAGAGACACCATGGCCAAGGCAGTAGCTGCGGTTGGTTTGTGTGCAAAGGACCAGCCTGCAGACAGGCTCTGGGTTAAGAAAGGCAGGTGAAGAGGGGCTGGGTGGAAGAGTTAATACGGCCAGCAAAGGCTAGGTGTGCTGAGATATCACAGGACTTTTAAGATAATGAGGGTCTTGCTCCAAGCCAGGAAACAATGCGGCAGCTGGTGTAAACTATTAGATTCTCAAAGCTATTTCGCAACCTTCTGTGGTGGCCTGTCACCTGCCACCTCAGACTGGTTCAAGGATCTTCGAAGTCTGATTCCTGCCTAGCCAGCTTGATCTATTCTCTCTCCCTTCTGCAGCTCTTCTAGGACAGCTGAGTGACGGGCAGAGGTCAGAAAGGAATGAAATCAACTCCGAGCTTTGAAGTGTTTGCCATGTCGGAGATGACAAAGGAGGAGGGAGGGCGATGCCCTCGGCATCCCGACAGTCACCTGCTACCGCAGCTACTCCTCACATCTTTGCGTTTGCTGTCTTTTTATTCTGCTGGATTCCTACAGGCAGATGACAAAAGGACCGGTTACTCAGCCCTATTCAGCCACTCAGTCAGCAAGTGATGTTCCAGGAACACTTCCAGTGACTGAATTCTGAATGCGTAGTGGTCATTCTTGCTCTTGGCAAATTAACCATCCCTTTTCTGGACCCCAGATTCTCACTGCAGGATGAGTCCTTCATAGCGGGGATACCACGTGCAGGGTGGGAGAGCTGACTCCCGGAGATGAGAAGGGTTCTGTTTTCCTCTCTGTATACACACCCACTTCTTAGAAATCAGCCTTCTTCTTCAAAAGGCGTGTGTGGTTCCTTGGTTTACCAGCAGATGGCGCCAAACACTCCCGTGGGAACCGAGGCCATGACTTCCTGTGGTTTCCTCTTTCAACCCCTTCCTCTCCTTCTCTGGGAGGGGCTTCTCCTTTCAGGTCCCAGGCAGAAAGTCACGTAAAACACTTTGTGTCTGTCAGCAGATTCCTGGAAGATCGAATTGAATGATGCTTGCTACCGAGCAGGGTTGGAGGGCTCTATTGACCTCTTCTCTCTCTTTTTGTCTCCTGCGAACAGCTCATTGGCTGCCTACTGGCTTTGCACAGCGGACTCCAGGTGGCTTTAGCCCTTTCCCAATTGTTCCCTGGCTGCCTCCTCTCCAGGTTCTTTCTGGTGGAGGAGGAAAGACATGGCAGAGAGCTGGCCTTTATCCCACACTCTCTATGTCCGCTCTGTCCCTTAACCCCAGAACCTGAAGGGCTTCAGGCCCTGCAGACAGAACCCTACTCTTTGGCTGTGGTGCCTCCTGCTGACCTCTTTGCTTTGATTTCCAAATAAGGTGAGCTTTGGCCAGCAGTGAGAGGAGTCTTATATTCAGACCTGATTTTCCCCACTGCCAGGTCTCTTGGAAAGGCCAGTGCCGGCTTGCTTTTTCTCTTTCCGACCACAGGTGGACTGACCACCCGTGATATTGTAACTTTGCTGACTCTCCAGCTACCCAAATTGGGCAGCTGTTTGGTTGTGCAGGTAGCCTGTGATAGTTCCAATGGGAACTCCAGCCTATGGACTCCACATTAGCTCTCAGGACTATGGTTGGTATTTAAGGTCAGACTTTCCAGAAACAGGATAGCCATGGTATAAAAAAGTATCCTTAAGACTTAGGAGATGGCTCAGTCAGCAAAGCACAAGGAACTACGTTTTACCCCCAAGAACTCATGTGAAAGGAAGCGGGGTATGGTAGCTCTTGCTTCCAGTACCAGCAGTGGGGTAGCAGAAAGAGTCAGATTAATGGGGCTCGTTGTGTAACCAGTCTAGCTAGCGTACTCGGCAAGTTCCAGGCCAGTGAGCTACCCTCCTGTCATCCCAAAACAAGGGGGACTAGCCCCCGAGGAAAGATACCTGAGGTCATTCTCCAGCCTCTACATGCATTTGCGCGCGCGCACACACACATGTGTGCATCTGTGTACAAATAAACACACACAGGCATACACATGAAAATGGTGTTTTGTTCCACCTGCCGCCCACCCGCTATGTCAGACAATAGGGGTTATTTTTGTATATGTACAGAGATATGTAAAAATGGACTATGTTCTGCAGGAGCTCCTAACCAAAGCAGCAGGGTGTGTGTGGGGGGACTGTTAAGAAGACGGACACTTCTAAGAGCCCCTGACCAAAGGGAGGGGCGGTTAAGAAGACAGACACAGATATTCCCAGGTGAGCATGCCGTGGAAGCCACAAAGCCCGGGAGCTAAGAGATGACATAGAGTGGCCTGCTCCCTGTCACTCAGGAACCACGGGGAGATTTGCGGATCCCTGTAATGTTAGTTCTCCAGTGAGGATCTGGAGGCTTTGGTTTCCAGCAGGCACCTGCAACCATCAGGTAACATGAGTCCATCAACCCCAAGGGCTGTAACTTCTTCCTGGTTGGATCCACCAGGGAGATTTGTTTAGGTACTATGGAAGAGGTGGCTGGTTAGTTCAGATGTCACCTCAAGAGGAGCACAACAGTGGGGCCTCGGTTCTCCCTATTACTCTCTCTCCTTTAACTCTCCCCCGAAACTGTGACCAATCCAAAAAGTCTCACTTGGATGAAATCCACCAGCTGAAATCCTGAGGAGGTTATGTCTGAGAGGTGTGCACGAACAAGAATCTCAGGAACGGAGTGATCTTGCTATACAAGGTGTAGTTATCAGGGTCTTCTGAAGGAACAGCCCCCCTAGAAAGAAAACACACACTGTGGCTGGGGTATTCCCACAACGAACGACTGTCTCCTGGCAAGAAAGGCTAAAAACCCAGGAGTCGTTCAGTCCGCGATACTGGGTGTCTCAGCTGTCCCAATGTGGTGTTTGAGTCCCAAGGGAGTCGCAGAGCACTGCCTCCTTCCCATCTCTGCTGCGTTCCCAAAGAAGTGGGTGCTAAGGTCAGTGGTCAGTAGGTGTGTCCCTGCCCCAGGGTGTAGATGCTGGAAGAGAAGTAATTTGTGGCAAAGTTTTCAGTCTGCTTTATTTGCTTTTTCCAAAGACATTTTAATGGTACAAATGTGTGTGTGTGTATGTGTGCATGTGTGTGTGTTTATGTGTGTATGTGTGTAAGTTAGTCTGTAAAATTTGGGCAATGCATAGAACTTTCCTATAATGCACCATTCCGAGATAATGGTACTCACATCTTAGCATGTTTCTTTCTTATCCATCTCGCTAGCAGGGAAATGATGTGTTATTGCATGTGTGAATACATGCTTAGTCAATACTTATTTTTAAGAGTGGTAAAAGGTCTGTCTTTTTGATTGACATGAACAGCTTCTGATGCCATGCAATCATTCCTGAAAATAGGATACTTTTAAATACTCTATTACATCATCCCCATCGTATCTTGTTTAGTCCTAGTCTGCATGTTTTTATGTTTTCTTCTTGTCTAGGTTGGTTCTCTTCTTTTGTCTGAGATATCAGATATTCTGGGGGTAAATCGCTTATTCCATGCTTCTGATGCTTTTCCTAGTCCCAGAAATGAACCATAAGATTGCAGAAGATAGTGCGACGGCTTTGGGTACCTCTTGCAAGATGTGCTCCTGGAATTTCCCCTTCTACAGCAACAGCACCAGCATAGGACTCTCCAGGATACTGCATAACATCACCCCCCAAATCAAAACCCCAAAAGGATTCACCAGGTGAAAACATTTTCATTTTCATTTTCATTTGCGATTACCAATCAGGACCACTGTTTTAGGAATGTCCCAATGGCTGTTTGTTGAGTAAAGGCTTTTTCCATTTATGAAAAGATGTGCATAGGAGATCAAGTGTATAAATCGTCCTGTGTTAATGTTATCGACATATTATTGCCTAAGCTGCAGGCAGTTCTTCATTTATCTTATCCTTTGCTTGGTGTGTGTGTGTGTGTGTGTGTGTGTGTGTGTGTGTGCGTGCGCGCGCGCGCGTGTACATGCACATACAGAGGCCAGTGGTTGACATTTTCTTTCACTATTACTTTTCACTTTGCTTCGTGAGACAGGGTTGCTCACTGAACCTGGAGCTCACCAATTCAGCCAGACCAGCTGGCCAATGAGCTCTAGGGATGCCCCTGTCTCTACCCTTCAGGGCTAGGGTTCCAGGTTTCCAGGCTTGCAGGGCAGACAGTTTGCTGACACACTCACTCGCAGCCCTTGCTTGTTAATTTGTTTCTAGACATATGGCGATTTGTGTTTTTTCCAGGGTTGAATCTGCTTTTCTTTATTTTATTTTATTTTTTATTTTTGTCTTGTAACTTCCCCTGCTTTCATGCTTAGAATGTCAGTCTTAATCCATCTCTCAAAAACTGTCAAATATCGAGGCTTTGCCACTTATCAGAGGAGCAGGGAAGGGCTGTCTGTCTCTGGAACCAGAACTGACAGGTGGAACTGAGTCTTCTGTGAGATGATTTCCCCTCTAGCTGAGCAGGGCAGACTGCCTCCAGGGCCCCTATTTAGCTGACATGGGGCTGAGCAGCAAAGGCCTCAAGTTATATAGCTGTGAGGCCAGTAAAAAATGGCATAGCATTCACACCCGAGGCTTCCTCCTCCCGTCTTCTCCTATAGTGGGCGGGCGTTAGCCTGGTCTGGGGGCTGGCCCAGGGCCCAGGACTGGGCAGGTAGCTCTGCTTTCTGCTTTTTGCAGTCTTGGTTTGGTTCACCATCACAGACCTCAAAGGGCTGCACACCACACTGTAGCTTGCCTCTTCCTCATGGTGCAGATTTGCGTCTCAGTGGCTATGGAGCCCGTCCCGTGATGCATACCCACTTAGGGGCTTGCACGGTTTTATGACAGAGGATAAGTGTTCCCTTGAAGGGGAGCCAGTGTCGTGTACTGGTGATGGAAACGCACTTAGTGCCAGAGACCCTCTTTATAAAGATGGAGAGCTGAGTTTGCTGCCTGCCCAGGTAAAGGCGAAAGGGGGTGGGGTGGCAGCGAAGCTAGGAGGGATTTCTCCACCGGCTTAGTGGAGCTGACAAGCTGCTCAAGGGTCCTGCGCTTCTAACCCGTATCCCTCCAGAAACTCTTGCTGCAGCCTCCGATTCACAGAGAGCTGCTGCAGGGGTAGGAGATGATGGTTGCCACATCACACGTGCTCAGGGAATATCATGGCAGATGGTATTTTCATCCAGATAAAGAAAAGCTACGCAGGTAAGCAGTTTGTGACTACTTAGGGCATAGCTTTCTGGACTGCCCGTCATCTGTTCTTGAGCTGCAGATCCAGGGACACAATCTAATGAGTCATCTGTGAAGGGACCCTACCTGGTGTGCTCCACACAACTTCGACGAACATTAATTTTGATTTTGATGTGAAAACTCCCAGTGATAGCCAGCAGAATGGAGGGTAAAACTCAACGACACTGCATGGGAGCGGATCCTTGAGGCCCTGAAAGAAGTAAAGGTTTGAGCACCAGCTTCCTTAGCATCAGAGACATTCTGAATGGGAGGAGCTTCTTCATAAAGGAGCGTGAAGATGGTGGGCAGACATACTGATGAGACCTTGCTGGGAACTCTCCTCTCCATTCTGGCTCAGTAACAGGCACAGAGTGTTTTTTATTCTGGGGGGGGGGGTCTTTGTTGCTCATGGATGACCTCTTCCCTTTCCAATGTTTCAACAGAATTGTATCTTTCCCATCCAATTGTCCCTACTCAAATGCGGGCGGTTGTGAGGCTTGCTACGGACATCAGCACAAGGGTGGCAGTGTGAACAGAAACCTCACCATCTGGTGTCCCCTGTGTTACGATCGATCGATCTGCTGGCCTGGTCTGTCACCTGGGTACCCTGTCCCTTTAAGAGACAAGTCCCGCCCTCTCCCAACCCCTCCCCTTCCACCTAGGGACGCAGATATCCTTCCTCCTCCACCTGTGCTCTCTCTCTTTCCATCTCTCTTCTGAAGAGGTAACTTCTGCTCTCTCTTTCTTTGCCTCACTCTCTTCTTCCCCCTTCTCCCCTTACCCCTTTTCTTCCTCTCCCATAACCCACTAAATAAACTCAATACCCAAACCCTCTCTTGACATGGTGTACCTGTCTGTTTTTCACCCACCATGGTCTCCCACCTGCCAAGGTGACCCACCAAGGCCTCAGGGGACTTACCAAGGCCCCTGGAGGCCAAGAGCGGCCCCTTGTGGAACTGGCTGCCCCTCGTGGGACTGGTTCCCAACTACTATATCTTTAAACAAGAATAACACCACACTCCATTTTGCTTTGAGTGGTCTCAACCATAAGGGAGTTAGAGACTAGAATTGTTCCAGCTTCATCTCTGGAAAAAGGGTCCAGTAGTGTAAGTACCTAGAAACAACCTCTTTTTTAAAAAAATAAATTGTGTGTGTGCCTATATGAGTGTATTCCGTGTGTGCAGTTGCCCATGAGGGCCAGAAGAGGGAGCCAGATCCCCCAGAGCTGGAATTATGGGCACAACTGAGCCTAGGTCCTCTGGAAGAGCAGCAAGCGATCTTCATGGTGAATGCTCTCTAGACCGGATATCATTGTTTCGTTTGCCAAGCATCTGTGGTATTTCCCCTGTCACTGCGGTAGCATCAACTAGACTGTTAGACTACTTGACAAGCCAGACCCTTGTTTGCCCATCCAACATCCAGGTGCTGAATTCTACAGCTGTCACTCAGATAAAGTTTATCACAGAGACACGTTGAGTGTGTCACATCCCTGGCTGAGAAGATTGGGAAATGAGGATGTCTGGGTAGTCCAGGCTATGGATCAGGCTAGTTACCAGGCTAGTGACCAGGCTAGTGACTAGGTTGGTGACCAGGCTAGTGACCAGGTTAATGATCAGGCTAGGTTGACTGATTGGGCTGAAGAGAAGAAATGCAAGACAAACCCTTGTCAAGTTCCTTCTAGATGTTTTATGTTCTCTTTCTGTCTATGTCATTTGAGCACATGCTTCCCAGAGTTCACAAACCTCCTTGCCCCCACCCCTCTCCCTGCCACCAATTCCCTTCATTACCCAGATAGTTTTGCTTTAAATGTTGTTTAGATACGAAATTGAAATTTTTTTTTAGCTATAAAGAAGAATAAGCTTATGTCATTTGCAGGAAATGGATGGAACTGGAGATAATCTCAGTGTTATTTTTCTGTGTGTGCAGTTGCATGTTTGTGTGTGTTCATGTGTGTGCAATTGCGTGTGTGTGTGTGTGTGATGGGGGCCAGAAGAGAGCCTTTGGTGCTGGTCCTCAGGTGCCATCCACTTTTTTTGAAGATAGTCTTTCACTGGCCTCTACCTTACTACATAGGGTAGGCTAGCTGGCCAGTGAGCCTCGGAGATCTACTTGTCTTGGCCTCCACAGTACAGGGTTATTAAGTTCTTATGAGCATCTCTGGCTTTTCAAGCTAGGGTTCTAGGGAGCAGTCCAGGTCCTTCAGCTTGTGTAGCAAGCACTTTACAGACTGAGCCAACTCCCTAGCCCTCCATGCTGTTTCTAATGGTCATGGCACCCTAGGAGGTTACTATTATTATAAATCACCTTCTCCTCCTTTGATAGAGCCTTCTTAGCCCAGGCTACAAACTCATGCTTCTCCTGAAGCCTCCCCAGTGTTGGTATTATAGGCGTTAGCCTCTGTGCCTTGCTTTAAATGATCACAGGCAAAGGTATCTCATAGTTAAGTAGCATCTTCAAAGCCACAAGGCCCATCAGGGGTCCAGCTGATATTTAGACTAAGGGAGGAACAGGCTGTCAGGGCAGAGTCTGTCTCTTCCCTCTTGGTAAGGTGTCCCTCTGAACAGCTGAATCTCCTGTGGATATTCTGGACCTCTTGGTGTGGAAACGATGCTTGCCCTCTGTCTCTCACTTGTTCTCATTATGTGTTTTCTTCTACAGCTCCTTGCTTCTGCAATGCCTGCCTCTCCCACTCTCCTGCAAATTCTAGTATCAGAAGGACTACGTTATCTCTTAAACTCTCGGGTTCTCAGACCTAGCCCGAGACTAGCATATGGACTCCATTTAGTAAGAAATGATAGCCCATCAGAAAGTTCCTGACGCTGATGGAGGCACGCTTAAGGTAGTAGAATGTAGAAGTTACAAACGCAAGCTTGAGTCCGAGGACCTGAGTTTGAATCTTTACTTTGCTATTTCCTAGGTGTGTCCCCTTAGGGGCAGTTCCTTATGCTCCCCAGTTTCCTCACTTGTAGGATGAGGACACCAGCACTTTGGTGAATGCCGTGGACATCAACTCTAAAGCCTGTGGGGCAGTGTGAGAACACAGGTGCTCACTGAGTGCCAGGGATGATATTGTGCAGTTGCACCAGACACTGTTCAAGTTGTGTTTTCTTTGTTTTTTGGTAGCTCCCTACACATGTACTGTATTATAGTCACATCCCGTTATCCTGGCATCCTTTCCTGGAGTCTCCTCTTCTCGCCTAGTCCTTCAGTAGTTACACCATCCGAGAAAATATCACTCCTTCTCCAGCAACCAGGAACCAAACCTCATCCTGTACATCCCCTCTATCCATGGCACAAAGTTACAGACTAGTATGGTGCTGGTATCCACAGTTACCATGTTCCATGGCTGCAATCACGAAGTCATGTGTGTACAACAGCATTTCAAGGCGCTCGTCCCCACTCTTCAGCTCTTGAATTCTCTCTACCCTTCCTTGTACAATGTTTCCAGAACTCCGGTGAGGCCTTGTGTGACTCACGGGCATTGCTTAAGGCTCAGTGCCCATCAGTCACTAATTCTTAGCACTTGGACTGGGTCTAAGTCTTTGCATTAACCACTCCTCTTTGCCTAAATGTACCTTTCCTGCTCAGGCTGAGAGCTGTGTTTCTCTAGATCTAAATATTTAGAAGGCAGTTTGACAACTTGTTCACTTAGGGAAGCAATGAAAGTGTGTCATGTTCCAAGCCTCACCCTACTCCCTGAACCTGTGATCCCCCAGTCATAGGCTAGGTTTATAGAACAGGTACACACCTCTTCTTGCAGACTAGACCTCAAATCTAATCCCAAGGCAGTCGGTTATACCCGAGACACTAATGTCGCTATGGGTTTTCTCACTTAATGTGTTGGTATCGTAGCACACATGTTTTTCAGCTCAGGGAAACAGCTGAGTTTGCTGCCCCAGAAGCCCGCATAGCACCGTTTGGCACCATGGATGCCAGCCACCAGGGAGGAAACTTCCAATTCAACTCTATCTTGATTTTTCTATAAGCTGTAAGACTACAACCAAGGTGTAGCTCAGCATCTTACCATCTACGTCTAGGTCTAGGTGGGCAGCTGAGAGCAATGCTAAAAAGGCTCTGCTTTCAGCAGGCTGCTCCTGTACTGGGCATGCTCAGGTATCTGCGGCAGTCAGGGAAACTGCACATCCAAGAGTTTGTAGTCAGACAATCCTAGGTTTTTTTGTGCCACAGTGACTTGCTAACAAGGTGGGCCTTGGACATTAAGGTAAAAATGCAAATAATTATGCAATTGGTGATTACATCTACATTGGTGTGTGGATGAGGTGAGTTTGGATCGGTGAACTCTTCAGTGTGTGTGTGTGTGTGTGTGTGTGTGTGTGTGTGTGTGTGTATGTGTGTGTGGTTTCCTATGAGTCAGGATCTGCCCATGATCTCTGAACAAATGAATGGTTAAAAGCATATTTTGCTGAATGAACACTGGAAGAGAGAGAGGATAGGTTGATCCCATTCATTTTCGGTCTTAACAAACTGGCACTGGGTACATGACGTAAGAGAAGTTAAGTGGCCATGAGGACTGAGGTGATCTGGTGACATCCTGGCATGAAGAGTCACATCACGGTGATTTCTTTTTCTAGGCCCACACAGGTCCATTTTACTTGTCACCTGGGTTGTGCCATGCAGAAACAGCTGTCTGCTAATGCCCTCCCAACCCCAGACCCAGCCTCCCACTTACCACTGACTATGTAGAGACAAAGAAATGAAAGCCATTGGTCTTACACAATTTCTAAACTACTGTACCATATTGCAACGTCTTGGCTAATTGAACCTAAATGAATCAATTCACAGATTTCCTAGAATAGGAATTGAATGCATTGGCCCATGGCTCTGTCATGCTTTTATTTTTTTTCTTTCTGAAATGTGTCAATTGGTTACATTCATTATGGAAGAAAAATAGCTATGAGGCAGTTTTCACACCTCACCTGCATGGCTAGCCCTTGGGTGGTCTTTCCTTTTAGTGGACTAGATTAATCTGTTCCTTGTGGAAAAGCAACCACAAGCTGAAACATTCCCTCAAACTTCTAGTCTACACACTGCACCATGGCATATTAACCTGATTAGTCCCATTCTTGAAGACATTGTGCAGTAATGAATAGCTTGGTGTGCAGCCAAGGTATGGGAGATTTCAATGCACACATTTCCAAATGACCTCTTGGTTTCCTAACTAAGTACAAATGACTTGCTAACAATAAACTTAGCTGAAGTGTTATTCCCTCAGAACAACATGGCCATTACTCATCATGCAGAGAGCACACACGAGATGACGCTAGTGTAGGCAATATATTATGGGTCATTGTGCGATTTTGTAGATGCTCTGAGGCCTATGTTTGGAAATTACAGAAACAGGGGTCTCAGCGAATCTAGATTTCAACTAAGCTCGGCTGTGATCGCAGTGTAACTCTTGGTAAATAGAAGAAGGATAATTATTATTTGGTGAACAAGGGGAAAATGAAAAGTTTAATAAAGTTTACAAATTAGCTCTCAGATACTCCCTTTTTGTCATTTGCTAGCCCGCCTTTGGGACGTTGCGGAGGGAAATTATGCACATTCTTTTGGTGTGTGCATGCTGCCTGCGTGGAGGTGTGAGTGTGTGTGTGTGTGTGTGTGTGTGTGTGTGTGTGCATGTGTGTGTGTGTGTGTGTGTGCATGTCAGAAGTCCACATCAAGCACTGTTTCTTAGTCGCTCTCTGTGCTGTTTTGAGACAGGGTCTCTCACTGAAGCTGGAGCGCACCGATTCGGGAAGGCTGAGTGATCTGCCTGTCTCTGCCTCCCTAGTCCTGAGAAAGCTTACAATGACCACCTTTCTAGAACGTCCACACATCTCCTGACGAAGACCGCTCTTCTTATTTTCCTTCCACGTTCTGCTAGACCCAGAAACCGGGAGTAAAAGGTAACTTAGTTAAAGAGCTGGTTCTCCTTAAAAACTGTTTTTAAAATAAGATTGTTGCCACTCAACCAGCAAGTTAAGTCCCAGAGAGGACAATGATTTGTCTAAATTGGTAGAGCAAGTTTGGGATGCATCAGGAGCTCCCAGCCTGGGATGTTCCAGGCTACCTTGTGTCTCTGGGGACAGCCTGTCCTCCTCTGAGTTGGGTTGTGTCCTTTCCTGCCCCAGCTGGGAGTTATGGGAAAGAGAGAGTCGAGCCAGGAGCAGCACGTTCTCACAGCTTGGCACCAGATTGCTGCTGGCCTGGGCGAGGGCTGAGCGGAGGCTGGGGAGGAGAGAGAAATCGTGGACCACGTGGAACAAACTGCAGGCGTATACATCTTCAGTGCTCTCCCTTGCCTCAGAAAACACATTCAACCACGTTTCCTATCCAGGGTGCAATGACATTATCATTTTGCCTAATAAAGTGAATATTTTTGAGACTCCCTGCATATGACTGGTGAATTTTGCTGAACAGAAGGTTTTGGGAGACCGCCTTGCATTAAGGAGGCTCTCGTGGATGATTTGGTTGTTCGCGAGTGACTTCCTTGGTTCAGTGCATTGAGAACTGACAGGAGGAAGTCTTCAAAGAATTAATTTGTGAGACTGTACATTTAACACCGCAGCCTCAGTTGAAAGAGCTGGGGAGCTGAAGAAACGCTGAGTAGGGGGAAGGACAGCCACATCAGCATCCCTTGGGTGGAGATGGCCGGGAATGTTCCTGATGGCCACATCAGCATCCTTAGGGTGGGGGTGGCGGGGAATGTTCCCAATGGCTACATTAGCATCCCTAGGGTGGGGGTGGTGTCTGCTGGGGCTGAAGCATCCAATGAGCTACACTTCACAAGGTGCATCTCACCTTCCTCAAAATTCATGGGAGGATGATGAGGGACTTTCAGATAACAGGACCTGGGTCCGGATATCACCTGCCAGGACCAGAGTCGTCTGGGAAGCCAGGGAAGCACCTCACGTTACCAGGGTAGGTAACGTGAGGCAACCAGGTACGGCATGTGGTTCCACAAGTCAGGTTAGGCTACGTATCCTCAAATAGTGAAAATTGGAAACAGATTTATTTAATGTGGCTGCATTGGGAAGAGGGGGAAACCCCGCCCCACCTGCCTGCCTACCTTTGGATCTAATGCAAGAACAGAGTTTAAAAACAAGAGAGACACATAACTAAGCAGTCCGGCAATGTGCGGTCCCCAGCCCAGCATTGCCGCTGACAAGTTGCGGGTCCTTCTCTAGGAGACAAGCCCCCAGTCATTGGGTTCCCTCAAGGCTTTAAACTTTTTTTCTTTGAGGAGCGTTCTGGGTAATTCTGGTTTCTTGGGGTCTCTTGTTTTATTAATCTGATATCCAAAGAGGGGGCCAAAGGATCCTTCTAGAGCAGTGGTTCTCAACCTTCCTAAGGCTGTTTTCCTTTAATACAGTTCCTCATGTTGTGCTGACCCCCAACCATCAAAGTATTTTTGTTGCTACTTCATCTCTATAATTTTGCTACTGTTAAGAATTGCAAGGTAAGTATCTGTGTTTTCTGATGGGCTTAGGCATCCCCTGTGAAAGGGTTATTTGATCCCCAAAGGGGTCACGACCCATAGGTTGAGAACCACTGTTTTAGAGTCTAGTCATTCCTGCCACGCAGGGCATTTATACTTACACCAGCTAGATCTTAATGTGTCTCAGCAGGGCAGTGACTACTGGAAGAAAGCTTGTGGTAGCTTTTATAAGAGAGTCTTAATTGTTATTTTAACCACGGGACCAGCCACCTCCCCTGTCGTTAGTGCCCTGGTATCCAGTCCTTGGTTCCTCTGGCCATACATCATCGTTATGTGACTTCTGGTGCCTTTGACCCCAGATGTTCTCTGAGCAGGTGCTAGCTTCCGCCATAAACTGTGGTGCCTAGGGAGCCTGGAGTGGAAGGAGATCGACAGTATCCTATCTGATCCTTTAGATTTGTACCCGGAGAAGCTGAGTCCCATCGCGAGGACGATTAGCCCAACAATTCTGCCCTGATAAGGAGGTGAATACAGCCAGAAGTGAGTTTGCTTTATGCATGGTGCTCTTGCAGGAGGAACTTTCCTTGTGCGGTTTGCCTCTTCTGCCCAGGAAAAGGTCTTTTGAGATAGTAAGAGTGTGTGGACTGTGCAAGAGAGTGCCTGCCTGTTAGCGTTTCATACCAGACATTAGTTGTGACTGCGCACAAGCCCTTGACTCCTGGGTGAGGATCTGCTCTGAGCCTGGATCAGCTGTGAGGAGGAGGAGGAGGAGCAGGAGGGGGGGGAGGAGACCGAGAGGTGGTTACTCTGACCCACAAGGCAACAGGGCTGCTAAAGAAGGAGGTGAGTTCCCCGCCCCTCACCAAGGTGGGGCTGAAACTCCTCCCCCAGGGATGCATGGCAGGAAACTGCAGGCATGGCATAGCCCTCCCCTCAGTTTCTCCTTTTTTAAACTAAGGGTCACGACCCCTAGACCCTTTGTCAAATATTAAATATTGCTGAACAAGCGTGTAAGAATAGCTCACAACTCTGTTCCTTTTGAACTAGAGAGGCAGACGCACAACGTGTTTTCTGTATCTTGGGCTGAATCAGTTTTCCACTGCCCAGTTCCTCCTGGGAATTTCTAGCTGTCTTGTTTACTAAGGGCAGGTGACCAAGATTGGAGTGTATCTAAGACCCTTACATTGATTTTTCTCCTCTCTCTCTCTCTCTCTCTCTCTCTCTCTCTCTCTCTCTATCTATATATATATATATTTCAATGTGTTGGTCAGTTTTGTCAATGTGTCATGCTAGGCTCATTTTAGAAAAGGGACTCTCAATTGAGAAAATGCCTCCAAAAGATTGGCCTATACCATATTTTCTTGATTGATGGTTGATGGTGCTGACCCAGACCACTGTGGGGGGTGCCATCCCTGGACTGGTGGTCCTGGGTTCTGTAAGAAAGCAGGTTGAGCAAGCCATGGGGAGCAAGTCAATAAGCAGTACCCCTCTATGGCCTCTGCATCAGCTCCTGCCTCCAGGATCCTGTTCTGACTTCTCTGGATGATGGGCTATATGATGAAATAGTCCTTTCCTCCCCAAGTTGCTTTGGTCATGGTGTTTTACCATAGCAAATAGAAACACTGACTAAGACAGTCTTTGACATCTGTCTGTGGGGCAGTTCCTCACCATTGAGCTTAGAGCCACACATTGTACTTTTACTGTTGAGCACAGTGATTTTGTCTCAGCTTGGGTTCTGTCTCCTTCCCAAGCAGTCTCCAGAAGGTTCTGTGAAGGTTAACCTTCTATGTCTCACACAAATTTGTTGTTACAGCTCACAAATGCATAGAGAGTAAACACGCAAGTAAACTCACATTCAGAGGACTTTGTGTTGCCTCCTTTAACTCAGAGTCTCTGATACAGTGCAGCTGAATGCCGTAGTAAGTCAACTGGATATCTGCATCTACTTTTCTTGTTCTTCTGGTCAGTTTTCATTTTCTTTCCTCATTGCCTGAGGTACTTATTTTCCATCTGATTCACAGGCAGTTGAATTATCAGTTTTATATTTAGGTTTTCATTTGAAGAGATATTTTAAAAGTCCTCTTGAGTTTGAGTATTATGCCAATAGTCTTCACTTTACTTAAATATTTATATATTTTTAAAAATATTTAAGCCAAAACATAGTATCAAGTAAGCCAGGATTTTAAGTCTGTAAACTTGATTTACATCTGTATCCCATCTGGCCTGGTGTTTTTTTTTTTTCTGCATGTCTTGTCAAAAAGTTCCTTGTTGCTGTTGGAATCGTTTGTCCTCTGGATGAGAAGTCCTTCTCTTTGCCTGTATTACAATAAATAGGATTATACACACTCTGTTTATTATCTTGGCCTGCAAATTCATTTTAATATCTTTTGGTTTGCTTGGTTCCTATCTCCTTATTTGTTCAATTCCTTGTTCTCATTCCATAACTCCATTTACTCATGCCAATTTATTGACTTAGATATTATTACTAGGAAAAAAAAAGTGGGGCTCAGTGTTGTGAGGAAGATGGGGTGGAAAACTAGGGAGAGTTGGAGGAAGTAGTGGTGGGATGGTGATGACCTAAACATACTTTATACATGTACGAAACTTTCAAAGAATGAAAATATAGTTTTTAAAAATGATTTACTCCTATACATAAACTTTAGGATTTTTCTTGTTGTCTCCCAAGATATTCCATTGGATTTTACATTACTAATTTTTTTGGAGGGGAGTTATGAAACAGAACTCAGAAAGTTTTTTAAGGAGACATAGTAACAGCATAGAAATGCAGAGTTATGCACAACTGTATGGCAGAGAGCCAAATCTGATGGGTGGAGAGAAAAATGACAAAGGACAAGAGTGAAGACAATACCAATACCAAGGAGAGGATGTGTGAATGCTGGGCCTGAAGAGTCAGCATCAGCAATCGCCTGAAACGGCAGAGGGGACACTTAGCTGGGAACCTATCAAGGAAACCCCATTAGAAGAAATTAGATCAGACAAATATCTTAATATATCCTGACATTCTGATGAACAGATCAAACTCCAAGGACAGCAAAAGGACACTAGGATATTTAATAGAGAGAATACAAAACAAAGCAAAACCCCAAGAGTCAATGGGGGGAGGAGATCAGGCAGTTTTCTACTCTTTTCTTATCACTAATTTAGGACCGTTAATGGAACTTTAACCTTAACCTTTAGACCACTGGGCGGAGACAGCCACTTGTAAATTCTATACCCAACCAAACTGTCACTTATAATTTGAATAATTCTGGTAGGGTATATTTTCCTGTCACAAAAAGAAACAAACCATATTTATTGTAGGAAACAAAACAATTTTACTAGACTTTTTAAATATCTTAGAAACTTAAAGTATACAGGGCCAGCCTTTCACACTTGAATTTGTTGTTGTTGGGTGTTGTTTTATACTTTGTTCTTGGGGGACCTTTTACTCTTTTGCTCTTTTGGTTTTTTGAGAGGCCCACCACCCAGCTCCCAGATAAATAACTCATGGAGAATTATTCTTACTTATGAATGCCTGGTCTTAGCTTGGCTTGTTTCTAGCTAGCTTTTCTTGACTACCTTTTGTCTCTGGGATTTTTCCTTTTCTTACTTCTGTGCATCTTACTTTCACTCTTACTCTATGGCTGACTGGGTGGCTGGCTCCTAGCATCCTATTTCCTCCTTTTCTTGGTTCTCCTCTGCCTTCTTGCTTCTCCTTCTGTTTATACTCTGCCTGGCATCCCTGCCTATCCTTGCTCTTGCTTCACTATTGGTCATTCAGCTCTTTATTAGACCATCAGGTGTTTTAAACAGGCAAAGAATCACAGCTTCATAGAGATAAACGAATGCAGCATAAACAAAAGCAACAAACCTTAAAATGATATTCCCCCAAATGAATATTTTTTATTGTGACTTTTATGTTCCCTTTGCTCCTAGGTCCTCCCTTTAAGGACAAGAATCTGTCTCTATGTTCAAGCTATTCACTGTGGAGGAAGACTTGTTTCTGGTAAAAGGGGAGCTGAGAAACAAAAACAGTGGGAATGAATGGATTTGTGTGTGTGTAAATTTGAGAGTCAAACATATCTCTACGTTTCAAAAGAAAATCAGGGAAAGTCTGTTTACAATGGAGCAAGTTCCCATTCCCTGAAATTCTGTTAAGTCAGAAGGATCAGAGGTTCATTTTGAAACAAGGGTCACTACAGTAGGTGGCATCTCAGGGACACATATTTATCTACTTAATTATTCAATGATTTTTGTGCCCTTGGTTCTGTTGATGACTGAACCTCAGTTCTTATTAACGTATTGAATCTTGCTAATGATGTCCACCCTTGGTAACTATTGTGCTTGTTCAATAACATACTCAGCATAGAAAAATACCGAGCACTAAGTCACGGATCAGAGATGGCTGCTTGCTAAGGAAATCATTCAGCCAGTACACAACAGCACTGTCTTACTCTAATGCCTTGTAAAATCGGTGGCTGCTTCAAATCAAGCACTTGAGAAATTAAAACATTCTTTCAACATCTGGGCCCAAGTAATTAATTCTTGTATTCATAAGCATTGGTGATACATTATCAAGTAATAGGGGCCTCTCGTGAATTATAACTTTTTAATTAATGCACCTCCCGGGTACTGATTACCACTAGATTTATAGCTTAGTTTGCATAGACTTGAGAGAGATGAGATGATAAGCCAGCCTCCCTCGAGCATCTACAGTGCAGCCCTCAGACCCTGTTTTAGGTCAGGCCTATCCTGATCCTGGGCTGTCTTGTTCATCACACAGAAGAATTTCCACAACTTTTCAGAAATCTTGACCGCACCAGTGGGTTGCATAGTAGTCCCGTATCTTAACTGCAGGCTGTAGTAAACCCTCTCCTCTTTTTCCTCTACAGGCTTCATTTTCTGTCTCTGGTTATCTTGGTGGGATGGCAGCCAAGTGTCATCGGTGGGGCTTAGTGGAAAGAGCCTTTTGCTTGACAAGTTTAATTCTTTTGTGTGTATGCATATATGTGCACATGAGTGTGTATATGTGTTTGAATGTGGAATTTGCATGTGAATGGTGTATGTGTGTATGAACGGATGTGTGTATTTGTGAGTATAGTGTAGATGTGTGTTTATGTGTATGTATATGTATATGAGTGTGATGTTTGCATGTGTGGGGTGTACATATATGTGTGCGAGTGTGATGTTTGCATTGTGGGTGTGCATATATGTGTGCAAGTGTAATGTTTGCATGTGTGTATGCATATATGTGTGTGAATATGATGTTTGCATATGCTGGCATGCATACGTGTGCGAGTGTGATGTTTACATGGATGGGTGTGCATACATGTGTGAGCGTGCGATGTTTTCATATGTGGGCATGTTTATCTCTTCTCATGTGTACAGAGGCCACAGGAGGATGCCAGGTCCTGTTCTATCACTTTCTACTTTATTCCCCTGAGACTGGATCACTCACTGGACCTGGAGTTACACTAGAGGTGAGCAAGCCCACCAATCCTCCTATCTCCATCCCTCCCAAGGATGGAATTACAGGCATGCAGGAGGCCATGCCTGGCTTTTTACAGGGGTTCTGGGAGTTGAACTCAGGCCCTAATGCTTCATGTAGGTGCTTACACCAACTGAACCATCTCCTGAGTCCCTGGGTTTAGCTCTTCACTCTATTATTCATTGATGGACTATGAATCTCCTTCCTGAGCCTCAGTTTCTTCTTTGAGGGGAGAGGGTTGCTGGCTGTCGCAGGTCTCAAGGATTACAAGGAGTAGATGCGGAAGAGAACAGCTCTGTTGATGGTGGCTTCAAAGGGTCTTTAATGGCAGAAAAAGAGATCAGCTTTTTTCTCTCCTGACCTTTCTCTCTCAGACAGACGGGGGCACTGAGAGGGCGGTGTGGTAATTGTGGTCTCACTGCTCTCACAGAATGAACTGACAAACAACTTAGCGAAGGGTTCCAGTGTAGGATCCATCGTGGTCAGCAAGGCATGAAGGCAGGAGTGTGAGGTCACCCTGTGCCCACAGAAAGCAGAGGGCAGTGATTGCTGGCACTGAGCTGGCTTCCTTGTTTTTACTCACGGCCAGACTCTAGCCCCTGGAACTGTGAGTCTTCATATTTAGAATGGATCGTCTCTCCTCCGTAACTAATTTAGAAGAACATCCCCCACAACAGACACTCTAGATCTTGTTTGCTATGTGTTTGTAGAGCCTGTTAAGTCAGTAGGAAAGGTGCCAACGGGGAGGGAGTGTGCCGCTGTCACCTCTTTCTGTCTTTGACAGCTCAGAAGCTAGACCAGCTTTAGTTCTGCTGGCCTAGTCGGTCCTGGGACGTCGTGCATCTATTGGGTCACACTCAGTTCCCAAGACTGAGAGCCAAGGCTGTGCCTCTGAGTCCAGCCATGATGACCAGTGTGACCGCGTGATGGCGGGTGGTGTGGATCACCTCTCTGAGTCTCCTTTGCCTTGGCCCCAGACTCAGCATGTTGCTCCCAGCACCTCTGCTACTGAAGCTGCGGGGATCTGTGGGTGTGAGTAATCACTTACAAAGTGCTGTGCAGATGGTAGATATTAGAGCAGATGATCTCAGTTATCCCTCTCCGTCCTAAAGATTTGTGATCCGAGATGTGCCCATGTAGGAGGGCTGGCTCCTGCCCAAGCAGCGGCTGCTGCTGCTGGATGGGGTTTCCTCAGGTTCCCCGCATCTACTTCAGCTCCCCGCCACTCCCTGCTTGCTCTCTCTCTTCCTCTTTCTAACTGCTTTTCTGTTGCGTATGTGCGTGTTTATGTGTGTGAACGTGTGGTGTATATGTGAGGCTTGCGAGCACCTGTGTACATGCATAGATGCTGGAGGAGGGCACCAGGTGCCCTCTGTTACCCTCTGTTTTATTCCTTGGAGGCAGCATCTGTCCCTGACCACGGAACTGTGTTTTACAGCTAGGCTGGCTATCAGCCAGCCCTAACAATCCTCCCGTCTCCACCCTCCACTTCTTCCACAGAGTTGGAGTTATGCATGCAAAGCCCCCATGCCTACCTTGTCATGTGGGGGCTGGCACCCACACTCATGTCCTCACGGTCACACAGCAAGTGCTCTTGACCATGAAGTCGTACCTCCAGCTTCAGATTCCAGCTCGTGATGGACAGCTAAGGCACGGTCCTCTTCCTGGGAGGAAAACCCCCTTCTTGAAGAACCACACCCACCATGGAGACATTGGTTTGTTTGACTGAACCAAGTGGAAACCCCATCTTGGGCAGGGAGATTTAGGGGTGCAGGGCATAATCACACCCATCAAGCTTAAACCAAGCTTTATTGAGCCAAATTAAATATTTGACTCTTTTTTTTTTAATTCCACAGAGTTCCAACCAAGCTTAAGGGACTTCCTAAACATATCATGGACCTACTGGAAAAGCCTGGAAGGCCATATGAGTGACCAAAGTGTACATGAAGCTGGAGTGGATAGATATGAAGTGCTCCATGAAATATATATTTGAGGACAAAAACGTACTTGAAAATACAGATTTGCTGGTCTCCAGAAAGCCGAACGTTTATAAATAGACCAATATGCACAGGGCATGAGAGACATCTCGTCTTGTTGGTCTGGAGTTGGACTTGAATGGCATGGGCATGGGCAAGCTGCAGCTCCTTTCAGGTCTCTTGGCGTTCGGTCTCCTTCATGTCCTGTGTCTAGACAAGCCAGTCTTATCTGCCAGATCTTCTTCCTAAGTTGTGTTCCCTAGTGCATCAAACCTGATTGCTCTGGTTTGCTGTGTTGCCCAATGGCCATGAGTTGGAGGCAGACCTCAGAGTTTATGCTTTGTTGTTGTCTTGTAGGCAAGGTCTTTGGGAGGTAGTCCTTGAGAAGATTTGGAGGGTGGGACCACCAAGGAGGTGCTAGTGACTTTATTTAGGAAGCATGACTAATACAGAAGCTGGGCGTGGAGAGCACACACCTTCGATTCTAATGCCTGGGGGCAGAGGCAGGCAGAGAGGAAGCTGGCCCCATTTAACTGCCTAACAGTTTCTCTCCATCTTCTAGGCCACCTCCCAAGCTCGGCTCTGCTGTTTGCTTCTCCCCTGCCTCTCTTAGTGGGTGGGAGTCCCCATCCTGTGCTCCTTGGGCCTCCTTCACTTGCTTTCATTATTGTGCCATGAGCTGTAATTCATGGCTCATGAGTTCCTTTGTTCTCTCAGCATATGTGAAAGGCCTCTTCTGCATTGGAAACCTTGCCAAGTGCTGATGTTAAGACTTGGGTATAAAAAGGCCTACGTGAGGCCTAGGGCAATGACTCAGAGGCCAGAAGGGCTTGCTGCTCTTGTAGGGGACGTGAGTTCAATCCCCGGTGGCAGTCACATTAGGTGACTCACAATGGTTTATAGGTCCGGGGGATCTGATACTCTCTTCTGGCCTTTGTGGGTACCCTACCACATTACCTACACATACCCAGACACCTATCCACACTATCCACACTATCCAAATCAATATTTATTTATTTTTACAAAAGATTACATGTGCAGGCCTCTAGTTGAGTATTGATTGGAGAATAATGACAGCCACTCCTCACTCCGTCAACTGATTAGGTCACAGGTAAGCTGTTTGCACAGTGGTCCATAAGGACATAAGGCCTAGCAGTCACCAGAAATCTCCTTTTTACCTTGAAAACTCTTTTTGTTGTTGATGATGATGAAGATGATTCATATTAATTTCAATTAGCATGCAAGACAGCAGTCCCCCCCCCGCCTTTCCCCCTCTCTTCCCTGCTAAAAGACGCAGATGTGCCTTTAAAGGGTGTATGTTGGCTCAGACCCTCCTTGATCTGTGTCTCTGTCTTTCTGTCTCAGTCATGTGGCGAACGGCTTCGTTCCAGCACAGTTCCCACTGCTATGATGCCTGCTGCTTTGCCACAAGCCTCCAGGGGTGGGACAAAGAGACCATGGATTCAGACTGCAGAAACTGTGAGTCATAATAAACCCTTTCTTCCTTGGAAGCAGATTTCTCAGGGGTTTTATCACAGTGATGGAAGGACTGGCTAACACAGCTGGCAGGTACATTCTGAAAATCCACATTAAACCTGTCATTTTGCAAGCTAATTGAAAATATGACAACAACAACCACCACAACAAAAAGATTGCATGGCCAGGTGATGCCGTTCCCAGACACCAATGTTATTAACACGATTCCTACTACCAAGCATGATAATGCTCTATGAGCTGTCGATCAGTGGCCCTCCAGACCCACTGTACAGTCTATTGGTAATGCCCAGGGTTGCCCACCAGCACTGGATAAGAAGACCTTGTTGCTGAAGACAACACACAATCGTTTCAGGACTGAGATGTCAAGCTGGAGCAGAGCTGGAAGCTTCCTCCCTCTGGTTAGCTTTCATAGTGTCAGAAGGTGGTGCGCCGGCTGCTGAGCGAGAGAAGTCATCAGAGGCCCCATTCAACTGTGAACCCTGTGAGCTACATTACCACCCTGCCAGGTAGGCTTGCCAGGCAGGATGTGCCCACCAGGGCGATGGTGCCATGGATATGCTCTTCCCTCGCCTCAAAGGTGATGTTCACAACTGGTGCCTTTAGTTCTGGAACCTAAACACTCCATGTGAGATCTCCAGGCCAATGGATTTAAGTCTATGGCCCCCCGCCCCTGCCCACAGTCAGTTTGGATTTAGCTTGTTTGTATTTGAGGCTGGTTTTGTCTTCGAACTTCATGATGTGATTGGTATCCTGTCTTCCCTCTCTATTCCATTGTTAACTGTTGCTCATGCTCGGACTGTGAGATGTTTGAAATCCAAGTAGTAGTCCTCATTATATTTGAAATATGTAATATATTATTTAGGAAGAACAGAGAAGAAAGAGTGGGTATTTTATTTAAACTTTTAATTGAAGCTTTTATTTTTGTTTGAGGATTTCATATAAGAGTACAATCTTTAAATCATCTCCCATGTCAGCAAAGGCCACACAGAGCACCAGTTCCCTGTGACTGTTCCCTGTCCTCTCTGTTCCCCCTCCCTCTGGCACTTGTCCTCCATAATACTGTATAAGACAATGAGGGACATGGACTGTGGGGTCCCAGGCTCATGATCAGCTACTTCCAGGTCTCATTCGTGTCTCTGCCTTAAGACCTCCTGACTTGGCCAGGGGGTAGTGGCACATGCTTTTAATCCCAGCACCCAGGGAGCCGAGGTAGGAGGATCTCTGTGAGTCTGAGGCCAGCCTGGTCTACCGAGTGAGCTCCAGAACAGCCAGGACTGTTTCACAGAGAAGCCCTACCTTGAAAAGCCAAAACCAAAAACAACAACATCAAAAGACCCTCGACTCATTTCCCTGCCTGACTGTTCTGTACTTCGTGAGAAACCGATGCCCCCGTTAAAAGGAGGCCTCCCTTGGGTGCGCTGCGGGGAAGGGCAGCTGTTCTGTTAGACTCTTCAGGACTCACAGGGGAAAAGCAAAACCAGGTCATCTTGTTCTCTCAAGAACGCTGATCTGGACGTGAAATTCAGATGTCAGAATCATCTCAATGTCTACTCAAGGAGATGCCAATAAAACTTACCTCAGAATTAGTTTCCTCCAGCCAGAATGGCAGCATTCCCCTGCTAAAGATCCAGACCACTGGCAGTGGTTGAGGAGGGGAATCAGTGCTGTGGTCAGAGGGAGAGCACTGGGGAGTGCACAGAAGCAGGGCAGAGGTGGAGGGAGCTGAAATGGTAGAGGTGATGGGTGGGGGTTTTGCCCTTGAGAGACACAGAAGAAATATTGGGACCTTCAGGATAGGAGTGCTATGATGAGGGTCTGAATTGGAAGATGCTGGAAACATTTGGAGATCAGGATTTCGGGTCTAAAGTCACTTTACCGTGGGAATCTGTTTTCTAATACAGCCACAGCCTGCTTAACGGCAGGGACCCCCCCCCCCCCCGTGAAAGGAGTCATCGGGTGATTTCTGCCACTGGGCAGGTGTCACAGGGCACACCCACCAATGTAGAAGTCATAGCACTGCCTGGCTTGGCTCCTTGGCTTCATAGTTTGTTATACAAACTGGGACACTGGGTCATGGTGGTTCTTGGCTGAACAAGGTTTGTTTATTTTTTTGAAAATGAGATTTGTTGGAGACAGAAATCCACTTTTTTTTTTTAAATCATAGCTCACATGACAGCAGTCATGTGGAGCAGAATTCTGTGTAATGTATGCTGAGCTGTGTTGAGTGTTGGGAGAGCTGGGTTCTAGGACTATGGGCTGCTGACCCCTGAGCAACCCTGGAGCCTTTTTCCTCTCAGCAGCCTCACTTCCAGTCTGGATGTGTACAGGTTTGGGTCATACCCGGGGTGCGCCCTGCAGCCCTTCTTTTTGCCTGTGATGGAACTCTAGCAGGTCACACCTTCTCAGTTCTTAGGTGCTCTGGAAAGCCAGTGGTGGCTGTGAAAATCTTCACGCCTCTGCTTCTCCTCTATGCCTAGAACACTTTACTCCCTCGTCTCCTTGGAGTCTGCTTTTTCACTCCGGAAGACTCAACTTTGGAGCTCTGGGAAGCTCACACTTTCTGAGATCCTCTTTGACCTGGAGTAACACATGACAAAGCACCAAGACTGGAGCTACATACTTTGGAGCAGACCCCAACCCAATATGGTTTGTGTCACAAAAAGCAAATGTGAAGAGACTGAGACAAGCACACAGTGGGAAGACTCCTGAACATGAAAATGGGTGGAGCCAACTCTACAGGACAAGGAGCCTGAAGATTACTAATGGCACCAGAAGAGGAGAAACCTGGAACTCCAGCACCAGGATGAGCAGCCCCACCCTCCCTTGAACCTTTGACTTGTAGCCCACAGAGCCAGAACCACAAGATGATAAGTCTTTATGGCCGGGGATGTTGCTCAGTTAGTTGGTTTACATAAAACTGGGTGTGGTGGATTACACCTGTGACCCCAGTGCTTGGGAGGTGAAAGAAGGAGGAACAGGTCAAGATCATCCTTGGCTAGGTAGTGAGTACAAGGCTAGTCTGGCTAACAGGAGACTGTCTTTAAAAAGAAAAAACTATGTAGCTCCATCATAGGCAAGAACAAGGGCTGCAGCCCCCCCTCCCTCCCCCACGCCCAGTGTGACTCAAACCTGTGCACATTCTGACAGGAAATGAGGCTGCTGAGTGGAAAAAAACTCCAGGGTTGCTTAGGGGCCAACATCCCACAGACCTAGAACCCAATTCTTCTAACACAGCACACAGTGGACCCTATACTGTTGGTAGTGATTCAGCCACACAACATGGCTGACACTTTCGGGTTCCAGGGCCACACATGTGTGGACAAGCCCTCAGGCAGAAGTGCCTAATGGCCCTGGGAATCTTAAAGGACCCTGTGTGACCCACGTGCAGCATGGTTGCATTATTTAGGTATGACATAGCTGTGTGAGCCCTTGCATGCATGCGTGAGCTCCATCATCTGAGTATGGCGTAACCATGCCATCCCTCTGTGTGCATGCGATAGGCAGCCCTTAAAATTTCATCTCTCTCTCTCTGCACACTGACCTCACCAGGCTTTTAAATCCCCCCATAATAAACTCCTAAGCAGGTTTGTTATGTGTTCCACATTTCCTTCTCACTTGCACCACGTAATTTTATTGGTGTTGTGACTCGGGTAATTTCACTGATGACTTACCAAATTATTTCTGAGTAAGGTTAACCGCTAAGGAGGTTAGGACATTGATATCTGGACAAGTCCTCTTGTCTGTGCTCTAGGGCTTCCGTGGGTTCCTTGACCTTGAAGACCTTCAAGGACCTTGTGAGTCCTTGAAGACTCACAGGTCCTCAGAAATGTGACCTGCAACTGGGACTCCAGCAGAGTTGGAGTTCAGAACACGGAAGAGTCTTCCCCTGTGGGTTTGATAAACAGCATCAAAGGAGCAGGTAACGGCAATGCTCCCTCCGGCAGCTCTATGCAAGGGCAGGGGAGAGAGGAAGGGGGCACAGAGGGATGGAAGGAGGGAACTGGGTGGCATCCAGAGGACGTGGGTGTGGTCAGAGAAGAGAGCACCAACTCGGACTCAAGTGGGGCGATATTTAGAATATGAAGGTGTTCCTGGCCTGCGAGACAACTTTCCAAATCCGGGAAACAGTGTACCTGTTGCTGGCCAGGGGCCAGGTGTTTCCTATGTCATTTCTTGTGGGGATCTGACTCCAGTTCCAGACTGGCCCTCCCTTGAGCACTGGCCTGGCTGTTCACCGCATGCATCCCACATCTCAGATTTCATTCCCTCCTTATAAACCTGCTGGCTGGATCTTGCCTACAGTGAGGGCTTTCTTTGAAGTCTCATGCTTTATTTGAAAATTTATGCAAATTTTTGAGTTTGATGCCATTTTTCCAAGTATGTGCTAATGTAAAAATATTATTTTAAATGACTTAGCTTTGATGTGGGGGTAGGAAGGAGGGCATGTTTGTCCCTGGCATGTGGAACTCAGCTTACCCTTATGCCAAAGTTTGCAAGGTAGAATGGATTCTTACTTCAGTTCTTGCTGCTTTTGCCCTGGGTAGACACCCTTCTAGGGAAAGCCTCTCCTTGCTGCTGGACCTAGGTTTCTAGCCTTCCTTTACTTGGTTGCCCCTAAGACTTGTTTTACAAGTCCCGCTTGCCAGGGCAAAGCCAGACACCCTCCATGAAGCCTCTCTGACAGGTATCTCATTTTCATTTGAGGATGGGGTGTGCATCTTTGTGTTCAGGGAGCTATGAACCTTCTTTCACCTTTGAACTTCTGTCCTCTGGCTTAGATATTTCCAAGGGTCAGGAGGATCCTCTATGTAAGACCTCCCCCTCTCCGAGCCAAGAAAAAAGTAAGGTAAGAAAACAGATAGCACTTTATCTGGCTCTGGTGGCCGTTTTTGTTTGTTTAGGGTCCTTAAATTTGTTTTGATTAATTCTTATGAAATTTCTAAATACTTGAGAAAATATTAAAATGCGGAGTTTTAAAGCTTTGTTCTTAATTTACAAAGTTCAGAACATTCAATGTATCTATTCATTGTAAGTGACACCATGTTACCCAAGGACACTTACCCTCCAGTGCAGAGGCAAACACACTCCTCCTTCCCCACTCCCTGTCTCATTTTATCCCTTTGTCCCTCTTCCTCATCACTTCAGCTCTCATGTCACAAAAGCATCATTTAATGTATCTATATAATTCTAGGAACTTCAAGTGAGAGGAAGCATCTTTGTCTTCCTGAGACTGGCTCAGTTTGTTTAATATGGTCATTTCTAGTTGCATCCATTTTCTTTGAAGTGGGATAGCTTCATTCTTTAGGGCTGAAAGAAATTCCATTATGCCGTTCCCCTGTTGTTGGACACTAAGCGAATTGTGTTCTAAGGCTGGTTCCTATCTGCTATTGTGAATACTACTGCATTATCATTAATATGCAAATATATCTGTGCCATTTTGACTCAGTACCCTTCGGTGAGTAAGTAGGAGTGGTGTCTGGCTTAATGTCTTGTCCACTTTCTCCATGGACTGCGAAGACCCTGGACAGAGGCAGTTGTATGACGTAGATTCAGATTCAGCCTTCATATAATGGGCTTGAGATCTCACACCATCCTTTTCACTGCTACCATCCTGTTTCCTCATTTATGAAATGGGAATATTTACTCAACGGGAGTCCTGCGTGACAGAGCACTTAGCACAGTGATGTCACAGAACAGGTACTCTGTGCATGTGCATATTCCTCCTTGTTGCCTGGCAACCTCAGCCTTTTCCTCTGCAACTGAATGAGTTTTTGGAGGTGCTCATCCATTTTCTTTCTGCAACATTTGTATGACATGGCTGGGGCTTATGATGATTATGCAGATTCACACCCCAGGCCTACAGTGGTGATCACTATGGTGACTGTGCAGATCACACCCCAGGCCTACAATGGTGACCACTATGATGACGGTGCAGATTCACACCCCAGGACTACAGTGGTGACTACAATGATGACTGTGCAGATCACACCCCAGGCTTACAGTGGTGACCACTA